CCCACTAGGATCGCACGTCCCCGGTTGTGAAAAAATATAGAATCTCTTCAGCATTTATAATTCTCTCCCGTTTTCATGCCATCCAAATGCATGTGTTATCATTTATGAACAATGAACGGTCGCAGAATTCAGACGATTGGCTTGCGCGCCGCTTCCAGGTATTTACGGAATGTAATCACAAGTTATGTTTTGTTTTATTTTTTTTGTCATGCAGCGGAAGGGGCAGCAGGGGGCGGCACTGCCTCACCTGCCCACTATGATCGCACGTCCCCGGTTGTGAAAAAATATAGAATCTCTTCAGCATTTATAATTCTCTCCCGCTTTCATGCCATCCAAACGTATGGGTTATGATTTATGTACAATGAACGGTCGCGGAATTCAGACGATTGGCTTGCGCGCCGCTTCCAGGTCTCCATAAATAATAGGAAAGTAGTACAATGATGCATTGCGGATTATGTTGAAGTGGTGGGATCGTAAATGACTCACTTTTTTTGCTGCTGGCAGATAGAAAGTTGTGATTCACGTTTACGGAATGTAATCACAAGTTATGTTATGTTATGTTTTGTTTTTTGTCTCTTCACATGCAGCGGAAGGGACAGCAGGGGGCGGCACTGCCTCACCTGCCCACTATGATCGCACGTCCCCGGTTGTGAAAAAATATAGAATCTCTTCAGCATTTATAATTCTCTCCCGTTTTCATGCCATCCAAATGCATGTGTTATCATTTATGAACAATGAACGGTCGCAGAATTCAGACGATTGGCTTGCGCGCCGCTTCCAGGTCGCACTGCAGGATCTCATGATTGCACGCGTGTTCTGCTTCTTTGCCAGCAACTGGAGAACAGCTTGAATGACTTTGGGGAGAAATGGGTTCTCAACCCGGGAGATGGCGCTTTCTACGGGCCAAAGGTGAACTAGCTAACAAGGCCCCGAACTGCCAATCAGCGGGCGGGGGGGGACGCGCGTCTTCGATTAACTTCTTGTCTCGTTTCCACGCAGATCGACATTCAGATCAAGGACGCCATCGGCCGATACCATCAGTGTGCCACCATCCAGCTGGACTTCCAGCTACCCATTCGCTTCAATCTCTCCTTTGTTAGGTGCTTATCCAGCTCGATGGCTACAATTCATCCGGCCTGAGGAAAATCTATGCAAATCTCTTTGAGGGATGCTTTGTAGCGCTGTTCTGTTCAACTCTTTGACAGCCCAGGCTTGCAACGGGGCGGGCAGAGAAATCGGGATCGTTCAATGAAAATGTCTCATATTCAAGCAGAAACTCATGTTTTGCTTTGTCAGAAGCAGACATCCATGCAAAATAGTTCTCCTTGCCATCATGCAAGTCATTACAGTACCATTTTTTTAAATATATATTTTTTTTACTTCAACCTAGCGGCAACATATCCAAAGCTTGCTCCTACCCAAAGTTTTACTGTAAGTTCAGCCGCTTGTAAGTGAGCGTGCCACTGTACTCGCTATTTTATATTGAAGTCGCATATGAGAGGCGACTTGCAGTGAGGTAAATAAATGGAAAATTTGCAGCTGTGACAATCGCTGCCATTTTCGCAACCCTCTTCACAGCCCTGACGGAGACGACAAGAAGAGACCGGTGATCATCCACAGAGCCATCCTGGGATCGGTCGAGCGCATGATCGCCATCCTGACCGAAAACTACGGAGGCAAATGGTTCGTTGGAAAGCATTCCCTGGTTTTTTTGATGTATGGTCGTATCGCAAGAGACATGCGCTAATAAAATGTCCCACAGGCCGCTCTGGCTGTCACCTCGCCAAGTTATGGTCGTACCCGTGGGACCGACCTGTGAGGAGTATGCTCAGAAGGTAAATAAAGATGCATCTCCACCCGACCCGATGTTCCAAGGAACTTTTGGTTCTCGGCACCTTTCGCTGGAACTAAAAGGATCCTGCGGCCTGTTGTTTCTGCCGTTCGGTGCAGTGGACCAAGCGTCCTGAAATGTTTTATGTCCATCACACAACAGGCCTTGGCCCCCAAAGGTTCCGGAACCTTTTGAGGGTACTAACACACTAAGCTGGCCGGGTCTTCGGTCTCCCAAAAACTGTTCACGTAATCATTTTAATATTAATAACAATACATGTTATTCATAGTGCACCTCACTCTCAGAATGAAGTACTGTAATATTTATGACGATAAGATGCATTAAATAACTCATGAATAAAAAAAGCTTCATTTCACTCGCAAGATTACAGTTTCTTATCGAGCGATCAAAAAGTTCCTCGTCGTAAAACCGTAGACATGCACCAGAAATAATGTGAAGGTGACACAATCTTTTGTAATGGTTTGGTGACAATAACTATCATGAAAAATGAATTTGAATATCGCACACATCAGAACACGCATTGACGGCACTCAGTTCAACGTGTTTTCATCTGTAAGAAGCAAGAAAGCAGGATAATATACTGTTCTCAAAAAGGACTGTGACGTTCTTGAGGTAGCAGGGAAAGTAGGTGTACCAAGAGAACATAAACTGTGGCTATCTGGTCAGCCCCATCATCTTGGAGGTGCATTACTGCCACCAAGTGGACCGGAGATTTACTGCATTCACATTTGACCAGCAAGCAGCAGAGTGGGAATACGATCCGCAAGTTGTCCATTTGAAGACTTTTTACAGTGGCCTCGCCTTTTTCTTTCTGTTAACTGTCCAGGTTCAACAAGACTTCCACAACGCCGGCTTCATGAGCGATGTGGATCTAGATCCCGGATGCACTCTGAACAAGAAAATCCGAAACGCCCAACTGGCACAGTACAACTTCATCCTGGGTCAGTGACTTGATCATTGCTCGTCCTAACCCGCTCTCCCTCTCTAATGTCTCTCCCGACTTGTTGCTCTCGTGAAATAGTGGTGGGGGAGAAGGAGAAGACGAGCAACACCGTGAACGTGCGCACTCGGGATAACAAAGTTCACGGCGAGCGCGGCGTGGACGACTGCATCCAGCGTCTCAAAGAGCTCAAATCGTCCAAGAGTCGGAACGCGGAGGAGGACTTCTGAGCCGTTTGGTTTCATCTTAGCATCTCAATTCATGGGAAAGGGGCTCTGGCTTTTTTTTTTTTTGTAATTAAAAAGAAGCCAAACTAGTTTTTCAACATACATTCTGTTATTGATCATGTGACTTGAGCGCCATCATGTGTAACTTGATGCCTGGTCTCCTATATTACAACTGTAATTGCAAAGTTTCCTGCGTTTAACAGTCAGTCTGGTTGATTTCTTGATGTTGTCTTCATGGTTTCAGGGAATTACACATGAGTTGCAATTTTGGTAACTAAACGGTCTATTCTTGATGTGTGTGTGTGTTTAAATTACCTTATGTCGCTCTTTCTGTAAAAACGGTCTTCACGGACAAAGAACAGCATCTACAGTACACTGTATAGAGAAAAAAAAAACGGAATAGTCAATACACCTGTACGATTAGATAATGAACATTCCATACCACCATTTTATTTTGAATATATCATCTCAAAATGAAACGTAGTTCTTTTCATTTTAGCAAAACACTTTTAGTTGATATTTGTATTATAATCGAAATATATCCTCCTCGGTCGCAGATGAGTGGGAGCCACGCTGACTCCTGTTCACACTTTATGTGAGGCAGACGAACCGACGCCTTGCTGTCCCAGATAAGAGGAAATACATCTTCCAGTATACAATGTGGTATCATGAATTAAAAAGTTTACAGTCACAACTATTTCCAGAGATAGAAAAATGTGGATGTTTCCTATCATTTAAAATGCATTCTTTACGCTCGCTCACTTTATTAATTAATACTATGTATCAATTTTTCAATCCATCCATTCCTGTCGTTAGGACTTTGTCTCACCACTAGTGGGCGCCCTTTCTATCCACCTGAAACCAAACTAGCAAGAACCACTGCAAAACGACTCGATTGTACAAGATAGCGTCACTAATATTCACAAGACTCGGCCGTAAAGAGGTAAATGTGCAATTAAGCATCTGCTCTGCTGCTGACCTCACGATGTGGCCCCCCGTTTTATTTTTGAAATGTCCCCTTTAAGTCATGCAAATGCACCCCATTACTTTAAGTAGGCACATTAAGTTAAAGTTGGAGTAAATAGATTTTCACATTTTCGGAGGACGTGATAAGTTAAGTGAGCGTGGGCCAAGGCAAACATTGATTTTGGCTGCTCTGACACTTACAGGTGATTAAAAATTAAGAGAGGCTGACAGCGGTGTTGGCCTCGGGGAAGTTTCCTGCACCAAATAAAGTCAGTTAAAAGTCAAGTCAGACAATTTTAGGGGTGGGGATATTAAAAAAAAAACAAAAAACGCTTCACACGGTTATTCTTAACAGCAATCCATGCTGAATGTTTTTTTTTAACACACACACACACACACACACACACACACACACACACACACACACACACACACATTTGGTTTCTTATTTGTGAGTAACAGGGTTGATTTGGTTTGAGTGAAAAACAAAAACACATTAGCCCATGGTCAGAACAATTAGCCTGTTGATGTCATTTGTGCTGAGTCATTTAGCTCTTCCTTCCTCTAGATATGTGTGTGTGTGTGTGTGGGGGGGGGGGCGGGGGGAGGTTAGAAACCGGGTGTGAGGATGTTGAAATACACAATTTAAGAGCATCATTCTTCAATTTGTCAATGACAAAGAAGACGTCAACAAAATCTTGCCCCCCCCCCCCATGGAAGAAAAAGGTGATTTAAAACATATTTTATGATATGATGATATATCATAAAATAAAATGGCCATGAAGAGGGAATGACGAGTTATGTTTTGTGGTATTTTAAACACTATTTAGAAATCCCTTTCCCGTTACATTTTGTCATTTGGATTATTCCTCTAATCCTTGAACAACACAACCCCCTTTCCCCCCTTACTGTATCTAATCCCACCACAAGGGGGAACAAAAGAACCGGGTATCATGGCAGGGGTTATCGTGTCATGAACCGAGCATGGGAGTTAAAAAGAACAAACTAACAAACAAAAGCAAAAAAATAACACGAAGGTAAGGGTTAATGAAAGAGTCAATGGAGTACGCGAGTGTCAACAGACGGCATCGGTGGAGTCGGGAGTCCCCGTTGGATCCGCTCTGAATGCTTCAATGGCAGTCTGGCCTCCAACTCGAAGGGTCACAACGCTCCAGTGAGCTGAGCAAACCTCGCTTTCTCCTCACTCGCGTGCATTTATTTGCAAAGTACCACACGTTCAAGTGGTCCCTCTGCAGCAGCCTGTCACTGAGATGATGCGGCGGGTGGAACTCCGTCGACGCGTTTCATTCAATCACATAAATAGTCTTGCTTTGCTGCTGGAGATCTTAAGGCCATAAATTCCTGGAATAAGTCAATGAATAACAACTAATCCAAGGCTTTTATATTCTGTATATAGCAGTGATTCTCAAAGCGTGGCAGCGGACTCTATTAGCGGTGCCTGAAAAATAAGTGAAATGATAATGACAATGCGGTCGACATCGAACAAATTGGAGGTAACTTTGTTTGGGTGACCTCAAATAACTCACAACGACATGAGATGTGTCATCGTAAAAAAAGCAAGCTACCTTTCAACACTTTTGGGCGTGTCACAGATAAGTTATCCACACAAAAATGAGCACATCGAAAACAAAGTGAGTATTCCGTTTAACGGGGCTCCATCTACTGGATGCATGATGCAACTGCAGCCACTGTTTTAGCTTCGATTCTAAGCGCCTTATAATGTGGTGCGCCCTATATACGAAAACAGTTTTAAAATAGGCCAGTCAATAACAAGCGCCTTATAGTGCGGAAAAAACAATAATTTAAAATGTCATCACTAATAATAATGTAATTCCACCTGCGAGGCAAGAACATCCAGCCATTTTCTATAGCGGTTGTCCGCAGTAGGGTCGCAGGTGAGTCAAAGCCTCTCCCAGCTGAATTTGTTGTGTACTCTGGACTGGTTGCCAGCCAATCACAGGGCACATACAGACAAAAAAAACAACAATAAAACTAAACTACTTCTGCTTGGAGGACAGCTGGAAGACACGAAAGGTGCAGATATAGAGTGGACGATGTGGATTTTAACAATGCGCGTATTCTAAGCTAATTAGCATGTGCTTGTCACAGAAAACAAAATGTGCGTTGATTCTGGTAACTACTTACCAGAGAGGAGATAATTGCATTTTCCAAGATGCAAACCATTCCTGTAAATCTCGATAGTTTCACTTGAGACTTGACTGCCTTCATTTTCCCCCTGCGGTTAAAGACGCTTGTTGCGCCTCTGTTTTCTTTGTCACCATCGCAACCGCTTGGAAAGTCGCCGTGTGTATAACGTAGGCCAAAGACTGTATTTAAAAAAAATCACACACACTGGCATCCAAAAGCCTCCAGTGAGACAAACCGTTGCGACGCCGCCCCAGTTCATGCCAGACTCATGTTGCTTCTGGACTCCCGAAAGGCATTTTTGAATTCCGACCAACCATTCGCGATTCACAACACATGAATGCACGCACAGTTTCCCGACACCTACACGCCTGTGCGCGAACGCAAGCGAACCCGAAATTATGGTCAGCCGCCAGCGAAGTTAGCTTGGCTCGGCCGAAACGAGCTGCCGTCTTTAATATCATTATATGTCGCCAAATTATACGCTTCTAATTGGGACTCGTTTGAACATTCTAGCGTATCGAAACGTGTTTTTTTGTTTTTGTTTGTTTTCTTTCACATCTTCAAAATATATGTGCTCCTGTACCAGCATAAATTAGGCAAACCACTTCACACCAGGGGGGAGGCTTTACTCCTGCACTCGCACCCCGTATGCGGCCAACACCAACATTTCCCGGTAAAAGTGGACGACGATGATGTAGGTCTGGAGGAGCGACAAACACAATACAGCTGCATCATGTCAACGCGCGCAAACCAACAACGGCGCACTGGTACGCTCAAGAGTCAGCAATAAAGCTTCGAAAAAGGAACAAGTGAGCTGTTTGCCAACTTCTTCAAGAATGTAAGCCCCCCCTGCCATGAACAATAATTTGTGTTTCGATTTCGAACCTTTTGCCGTGAGGTCACATGTCGTTTGAATGTGTGCTAAGTTGATTTGCTTTTAAGTGAAATGCCGCGTTAGCTGTAATTTACGATTGCGGATGAAAAAAAATATACATGGTGGAAATTCAGGTGGCGTTAACTTAATCACGGAGGGACTGGCTGATTAATTGACGTTTCTGTTGCTGGGATGAATGGCACATGCGTGTTATTTCGAAAGTGAAATGGATAGCGTAGTGGCATAGCTAGCTAGCTAGCAAGCAAGTAGACTAGCCATTACGTTTTGCTAAAAAGTACTTTAAAGACAACCCAACCAAACATTTTATACCTGTGTAAAAATATCTTCATCAAACCCGTTTGTGGTTTTAGAAGTGGCTGCTTCACCATTTTTTTTTCCACCTAAACCTTTGAAGGTACATCTGATGGTGCAAGACCACAAACACAAGTTTATTATGAGTCAGTCAATCACTTTCTGCTACTTCTAGCTAATTGCAGCGCGCGTACAGTAAATACAAACAACCATTACCACTCACATTCACACTTAGAGACAATTTCGAGTCTGAGCAAGAATGTTTGTGGAATGCGGGAGGAAGCCGGAGTACCTGGAGAATACCTCGGGAAAGATTTGTGGCCGACGTGCTAACCGCGACCCAACTGTGCTGTCTCTTTCAACATCATTACACTGTCAACTATTATTTTGACAAGTGCTGAAGTTTAACTATTGGTTTTCCCCAGCGGTAAAAACTCATGAGAGTAATTTTATGAACTACAGATGCCTCACCAAAAACGCATTTGCAAGCGTTGAGCCACACTGAGACGAGTAAGCACCATGCAATGGAAAACAGGTACGAAAGCAGCCTGAGTAGGGACTGAACCGATTGATCACTTGCAAAGTATCTGCTAAGCCTCTGTTTAATTACAAGTAAAGCACAAGTGAAAAAGAAACAGTGAAAAAAAAAAATGCCAATTTTTTTTTGGAGCTTGGCTACAATGTCCCATTCTATAACATGCTATGCTGTGCTATGCTATCCTATGCAATGCTATGCTATGGAACACAAGCTGGATTCGCCGGGGTGTCCCTTTCGTCCACGTTGCTCTCATGATTGTTAGCCAAGTTGCCCGTTTCCGTCTTTGTTAGCTCTCACGTATTGGTTGTTGTTGTTTGTGTCACGTCACCACAAAGACTAAAAGATGCGTTATAACTATCAAACATGTTTGATATTACCAAAAGGCCAAGACGAGGGGACCAAAAAGAGATGAGATGTCCACCTTACACTAACCG